TCAGAGGTAGTACTTTTAAGGAAGTGATTGGATCATAAGAACTCTGATCATATCAACAGGTTAATATAAAGATGGATTAATAATTTAATGGACTATTGGGAGGTGATGGAATCTGAAGGAGGTAACACCTAGAGGAAGTGGGTCACTGGGGAACATGCCCTAGAAGGATATATCTGGCCCCTTCTTCCTGTTTGCTGGCCACCATGAATAGCTCTGCTCCATTACATGTTCCCTGCCATGATGTTCTGTCTCACCACAAGCTCACAGTGATAGGGCCAAGTGATTATGCACTGAGCAAAAACAAATCTTTCCTCCTCTAGGTTGATCTTCCTGGGTTATTTTGTGATAGCAATGAAAAGGTGACTGACACGGGGTATATCTGTATTTGGTTCCTGGTTCTCTTTACAGATACATGGCTGAATTAAATTTCCCTTCCCCCTTGACATTAGTATAGCCATGAGACTTCTCTGTTAATATTTATGAAATCTGAGTGGGAGTGGTTTGTTTTATTTCCAGGTGGAAGATCTAAGTGCCAGCAGTTACTTGCTGCATGAAGCAAAGTCCGTAGTGTGGATTAGAGCCCCCTCACTGGACATATACCATGAATAAGAAATCAATATTTACTATTTCAAGCTGTTGAGATTTGGGGGTTGTTACCACAGTATAACCTCAATACCTAACTGATATAGAGACACCCATCATCCAGATGGAAATATTAGATATTTGAAAGAATGTCAGTTTCACATGTATATTTTCTAAAAACTGAAAAATTGAATCCAGGTTTCATCTGATTGATTAAATACAAACTAGTAGCCATTTTTGTGAAAGAATAATGAGATGATACTTGTACCACTGGAAAATAAAAAGAATAGTCAAGTTAGCACTTATTAAATACTTAACTTAGACCAAGTCAGTTTTACACTACTCAATTCCTTTAAAACTATTAAGAGCCCCATGAAGTAGACACCATTATTATGACCATTTTTTAGGTGGGGAAAGGGAGGCATGGAAATTGGAACTCAGACAGTTTTGTCCCAGGTCCATGCATTTAGCCACTGTTACTCAGTCTCTCTAAGGAAGTATTTTTTAAGCCTTCTGTGGTGAAGAACCAGTTGTTCGTTTCTTTGTTTTAATCTGACCTATCATGAAATAATACTTCAGTAAAATATAATTACTAGTAAAATGAAATAAAAAACAAAATGCAAGGCTATGTTTTTATTATTAAATTTGTCAGCTCTAAGATTACTTTTCAAATGTCTATATAGTTCTAAATGCTTATTCTCAACCTCTATATTAATCAAACTTAATAACTTATGGGCTAGCACTAGTCTGTGAACCAAACTTTGAGGGTCTTTGCTCAAGATTTCCAAAACAGATGTGGGTATATATATATATAAAGATGTATGCCCAGTGCAGTGATGCACGCCTGTAATCCCAGCAGCTCAAGAGGCTGAGGCAGGAAGATTGCAAGTGCAAAGCCAGCCTCAGAAACTTAGTGAGGTCCTAAGCATCTTAGCAAGATGCTGTCTCAAAATAAAATATAACAAATGGGGGGGCTGGGGCTGTGGCTCAGAGGTAGAGCGCTCGCCTACCATGCATGAGGCACTGGGTTCGATCCTTAGCACCCCGTAAAAATAAAATAAAGATATTGCATCCACTTATAGCTAAAAAATAAATATTTTAAAAAATATATGTAATAAATGGCTGGGGATGTGGCTCAGTGGTTATGCACCCTCAGGTTCAATCCCTGGTGCCAAAAATAAATAAAAATAAAAATAGTTGGGGCTGGGGATGTGGCTCAAGCGGTAGCGTGCTCACCTGGCATGCGCGGAGCGCTGGGTTCAATCTTAACACCACATAACAATAAAATAAAGATATTGTGTCCACCTAAAACTAAAAAAAATATTTAAAAAATATTTATATAAAAATTTAGTATATGAGAAAGATGCTTTTGTGGATGTGTAGGAGAGGATATGTCCTATGATCCCACAGTCCAGAGACTACAACTCTAGAACTTACCCAGGCACTGGGAGACACTCAAATTTTTCACTTAATAAGAAGAACCTAAAGGATCATTATGTTAAACATAACTGGATCTTCTCTTCAACTCCTCAGGTATATCCAGTGGTCCCTGTAATGCATGGGGGACATGTTCCAAGACTGCTAGTGGAAACATGATAACACAGATGATAATATTGCACCCTATATATACTATGTCCTGTTTTCTTTTCTTTCTTTTTGGGAGGATACCAGGGATTGAACTCAGGGGCACTCAACCACTGAGCCACATCCCCAGCCTTATTTTGTATTTTATTTAGAGACAGGGTCTCACTGAGTTGCTTAGTGCCTCATTTTGCTGAGACTGGTTTTAAACTATTGATCCTCCTGCCTTAACATCTGGAGCTGCTGGAATTACAGGCACACACCACCAAGCTCAGTGTCTATGCCCTGTTTTCTTCAGACATATCTAGGATAGTTTTATTATAAATGGGGCACCATAAAAGATTAGCCACAAGACTAATTGGATAATTATAACACTATACTGTAGCAAAAGTGAGGTGCTTGGTCTCTCTCTCTCTTTCAAACTGTCTTGTACTGTACTCAGCCTTCTTGCAGTGATATGAGATAATACAAATCCTTTGGGATGAAATGAAGGGAGGCAAATGCTGTAGGCATTGTAATGTGGTGTTGGGCCACTATGTGAGGGCTACCTGAACACGAGCCCTGTAATATCATTACAGTTGATCTAAGTAAATAAATGGGAAAAGAGATGATTTGTGTTCTGGGTGGGCTGGAATAGGACGGAGCAAGACATCATCATGCTACTCAGAATGGCATGCAATTTAAAACTAATGAATTGCTTATTTCTGCAATTTCCCATTTAATATGTTCAAGCTATGGTGGAAAATAGGTAACTGAAATCACAAAAAGTGAAACCATGGATAGGGGGAACAACTGCATTCATTCTTACTAAAGTCTGTTCTTGTCTTCTCACAGCAAACATAATATGATCCCACAAATATACTATGACCTGGGTGTATATCTCCAAGATAAGAAGTGAGGGGAAGACACTTAAGATTCAACAAGGTTGAATCTATTGAACATATTAGCCTATGTTATTACCCAGCTGATACTGTTAGCCTTAACAAGGGTGTTTTTGTAAAATTTTCAGGGAAATGGAAGACAGACAACTAGAGCTTCCTTCTGCCTATAATCCATAATTTTAGAAGAGAAAAAACAAAATTAAAATCAGTTTCCACCCCCGCCCTTTTTTTCCTAGGCAGTGCTAGGGGTTGTACCCAGGGCCTAGTGTATGCTAGGCAACCACTCAGCTACACTCCCAGCCCTTTAGTAACTTTTAGAATAATGCATAGTTCTCTGCAGGATTTCTGGGTAGGATTATAAATCATAAATTTCAAATTAACCTCAAGTAGATCTTCCAGTCACAAGGTAAATATGGAAGTTGTGATCCAAAAGGTATATTTAGAGCCTTTGCATGAGGCAAATATGAAAAGATAGAAGCATGACCTATCAAAACATCAGCTGATATTCTTATCCTCTTTCTGAGAGGTCTTAGGGCATTGGGTAGAAAAGGTAAAGTCCCTCAGGTGACTTCTCCATGTAAAATCTGGAATCTGGGCAAAGTGACAGCAAATTGCAGTACACCTAAACTCCCCAAATTCTTAAAATCCATTTGTATCCCACAGTGCAGTGATATATCTATGAGAGAATCCTATTGACCCAGAACAAAATCCCTGTCACATAGTCCTGGCTTGTCTTATACATAAGTCCTTGAATTCTTGAAGAGTTTCCTTCTTCCTTAAGCCTTAGAAGGAGCCTAAAGGAATTACCTCATCCATAAGATAGAATTTTGGGAAAACAAAAAGGTTCTAGAGGGCTGGGGTTGTAGCTCAGTGGTAGAATGCTTGCCTCCCAGCGCTAGGTTCAAACCTCAGCACCACATAAAAATAAATAAATAAAATAAAGGTATTGTGTCCATCCACAACTGAAAAAAAAAAATATGTATTGTAGTAAGTACTTAAAAAGCTCTTGTTTTCCTATAGTAAGACCATGTAAGTCCACAGTAAGTCCATGAATAAGAATGTTTCACCTTCCAACATGTTTGAGGCTTTGTAAACCTCAATTTGAAAGAGACACAATTTTGTGATTTTTTTTTTTTTTCCCAAGAATGTCAATTACTCTGGTGACTAATGTTTCCAAGTCATGTGGCAAGCCAAAGGAGACTGGATCTGGTTTTAGTGCCTTGGCTTCTCACCTTTCATCTGGGCAATTAGTTCTGAGAAGAGGGCTGTTTCTACGTGAGGAATCTAAAGTTGTCCTACTTACATTCCAGTTTTGTTTTGTTTTGTTTTTCTTTCACAGTGCTGGGGATTGAACCCATGGCCTCAGACAAATGAGGTGAGCACTGTACTTCTCAACTACATTGCCAGCCCTATACTAGTTCTTTCTAAATGCCCTGATGCTGTACTTCTCAACTACATTGCCAGCCCTATGCTAGTTCTTTCTAAATGCCCTGATGCTGTACTTCTCAACTACATTGCCAGCCCTATGCTAGTTCTTTCTAAATGCTCTGATGCTGTATTCCTTCCCTCACTAACTTTATCTTCCATCAAATGAGAGTTCTTTAGCTCTCTAATCAAACCAAGTGTTGGTAAAGATCACTCTTGTTCCTCCTCCAGGAATCTAAAGCAGTTTCAAAGAGTACAGATGTGGCTCACTTTCTTGCAGTTCTAGTAATACTTAATGTGAAATCAAAATAGAAACATCAGAATATCCATATTCTTGATCTAAATGCACATGAAAACACAAGCAGGGCTGTATGTAAGAGTTTCTGACACTTTATTTTTATAATCTTACTAAGAAAATAGCCCCTGGGAGCCAGAGACTGGGGAGGCTGAGGCAGAAGAATTATAAGTTCAAAGCCAGCCTTAAGAACTTAGGGAGCACCTCTCTCAAAAATTAAAAAAGGGCTGAGAATGTGGCTTAGTGGTTAAGTGTTCCTGAATTCAATCCCCAATACCAAAAATAAAAAGAAACAAAAAAGAAAAGAAAATAGCCACTGGTGTCTTCAGGCTTTGCATCTGTAGCACAAGTGGTATCATCCTTCCCATGAGTAGTGCACTTTCATTCCCAACACAGAAAGTACACGTTGCCTTGTGTGTCTCCCACAGCAAGGTGCAGGGTAGAGTTGGGTCCCAGCCAAGGTTCCAAGCAGCTCACTGCCCCTTCACATCGGAATAGGCCCAGCTAAAAAAGGAATGAAAACAAGAGTCGGTGAGGGCTACAAGATTAGGGTCTCCTTCCTAACTTATTTTTCACTCATGTCAGTGTCTTTTATTTAGAAACAGATAAGTCAGCACAAGAGGGATTTAAGAAACAGATTTTTAAAAATCTTTTGCCCTTACCCTAAATTTGTTCTCTTGCAATATTCCATTAGCCCCTATTGCACATGCATACACACACACACACACACACACACACACACACACACTTACCAGTTGCATACTGGGTCTCTCCCACAGCTTAACATCTCTATCCTTTGAAGCTGTCACCAGCAATTCAGGCAGCACATGGAGGGCTGTGACAGAGCCTGAGTGAATCTGAAAGGAATGGGACAGCAGCATGGTGAGTCCTCAGTTAAGGAAGCATAGAAGCCTGCTGTGTAGACCTAGAGCCTCCTCTGCTATATTTGTGACCCCTCCCTCAAACTCACCTTTCTACGCTGCCGTGTCTTTAGATGTGTGGTTGTCTGCCAGGATTCCATGTTGGTATCTAATTCACAGCACACAGATGAGTCTGTTTCTAGAGTCTGGGTTTTAGGCATTTTTACTTTTTTCTGCCAGAGATGACCTGTGGTCCATTCTCCTTCAGGGGTGCATTCAGCCAGGTTCCACAGCATCCCATCAGAACTGGCACACAAAAATGAGGACTCTGCCATTGTAAAGAGATAGTTAGAGCCAGATCTCAGGCCCTGAAGGGACTTCGAGGTCCCCTAAAACATCTTAGGGATCCTTGGGTCCTCCTATTCCCACTCACCAGATTCAGGTTTGGCCTGAGTTATTGTTATCAGGGTCCTACTAGGATTATCTAAATTCAAGTCAAAATCCGGGATTTCTTCAAACTCTCCTGATTCCTTTTGTTTCTGTGAAAAGACAGGTAACTTTGTTTAGCTATCCATATCTGTTGGATGAAGCAAGAGTTTTCTGCTCTAGGATGGTCAGGATGCTTTTTTAAAAGTATAGTATAGGGCTGGGAATATAGCTCAGTTGATAAAGCACTTGACTAGCATGTGCAAGGACCTGGGTTGAATCCCTAGCACCACATGAAAAAAGATAAATATTATAATGTAGATACAGTGAAGTACACAAATCTTAAATGTATATCGCAAGGAATTTTTATACATGTATCCATGCCACCACCCCCAAAGTTACCCTCTTGCCCCTTCCTAGTCAATTCCAGGCTATCCCCAGAGCCAACAACATTCTGACTTCTGTCACCACAAGTAATTTGCTTGTTCTGGAACTTCAACTAAGTGCAATTGTGTAGTACGGACTCCTCTGAGTCCAGCTTCCTTTGCCTAGAAAAATGCTTATGATATAAGTCTGTATTGTTTCATTCATCAACATTCAATATAACATTCTTTTTTTATTGCCATGTAGCATTCCATTGTATAAATATTTGACAAATTATTTATCTTTTTCCTATATATAGACTTTTAGGTTGTTTGGGTTATAAAAAATAAAGCTGCTGTCATCATTCTTATACTTATCTTTTGAGAGAAGGTGCACTCATTTCTTTTAGGGATATGCTTAGAAGTGGAATCACTGGGTCATGGATAGGCTTTAATACATAGCAGGTCAGGATTTAATAAACTTTCTGGAGACAAGGGGCTCATCCTTGAAGTAAACATCTAGGAAGTATCAGATGCCTACAAGGTAACTATCTGCTAAGCATGATGAGAGAGACAAGATGCAATCCTTGCCTGCAAGATGCTAACACTCACAGCAGCAAGACAAGAGATGTGGGGAAAAAAAATGCATTGAGAAAGCTCCTAGGTTTATAATTTCCCACGATGTTTAAGAAAGTAGAACTCTTTTTTGTACCAATGAAATCTCACATATCTAAAGCTCTAAAATAGTGTTGCTCTAGCTGATAAGGATAAGGAGGATAAGGAGATTTGAAGCCAAATGCATTTCCCTTCCCCATATCCTGCATGATGGACCTCATGGTTTAAAAACACAGGTCCTAGACAAATGTCAGCTTTAACACATACCAAATAGGACTTACCCAGAAAGAAAGAAATCCAGGGTTCCCTGGCTGCAGGAAAAACACACCATACTCCTTGTGAGTGGACAATATCACAGGATGTCGTGCATACTTTTTCCTGGTTTATAAGAAAGTGAGAGGCTGAGCTAGGACCACTTTTCTTAAAGACCTCAGTCTTTGTTCTAAGTTGTACTCTACTTCAGGGTAACCACTATCCCACTTTTTCTTTCTCCAGCTTAGGGGAGAAGAGCATTTCAGACCTTACCCTATTACAGAGGGAGCATCCCCTGGCTTCATGTGTAGTAATTCCAAATCTGCTTTGGCCAAGATGAGGGAACATCCATCAGGGGCCAGGCCCAGCCCTATCAGCACCCCCACATCTTGCAGAACTTGTTTTAGGTGAAGACTATAGCTAGAAAAATGTACATGGACAGACAAAGATCCTACTTTAGTTAACCTCCCTTAGTTCCCCATGAATTCTTCATGAGTAAAGTACAAAGCAAAAGACACTAGTGCCCCCTCCAAACCCTGTTCCTCATTTTTCTGTTTGTTTTTGCAGGACTAGGGATCAAACCCAGGACCTTGAGCATGCGAGACAAATTCTCTACAACTGACTGATGTTCTCAGCCCGTATTTTTCTTATATTCACCATCACTGTTCCTTTGCTTGCTCAAACTAGGAATTTCTAACATTTTTATTTTTCCCTCATATTCCTACCTGCAACTGATCAATAAGTCCTGTGGATTCTATCCACGACACATACTTAAATCTGTATCTTTTCTTCTCATCTCTACTGCCCATATCAGGGCTTATACTGTGTCTTCTCTTAGTATTTCTCCATCACGGTCCATCCTGTATATTATCACTAGAGTTCTCTTTCTAAAGTTCAGATCATGGGGAATAGGGGTGTAGTTCAGTGGAACAGTGTGTGCTTAGTGTGTGTGCAACCTTGGGCTTGATCTTCAGCACCAAGAATATAAATAAGTAAAATAAATAAATGATAAATAAAATTCATATCATAATTCTACTCAAAATACTCAGCACTGTACTCTCTACAACCTAGCCCCAGTTTACCTTTTCAACCTAATCCTCCACCTGCCCAGCTGCCTCTCCCTGCAAGAACCCAAGATCTTGGCTACACTCAGAACATTATGTACCCTCATGCCCTCAGAACTTCATTAATGCTACTTCCTTTTCCGGAAACACTAAAAGAAGGGAACTTCTTTTACTAGTCCAGAAAAGTCCTTTCCATTCTTTATGCCCAATCTCAAATGTCAACTCTTTCCTACAATTTCTCAAATTCTGCAGTCCCCAAAACAACTGTAGGCTTCCTTAGTTAATAAAATTCATTTGTATCTGGTTCACACTGCCTGGCCCAGAGCCTGTCATCAAGTGGGCATTTGAGAATTATTCATTTAAATTGTCATGACTGGAAGCAGAAAACAATTGCCTGCACAACAACTAACAACCTATTGACCTTGTTCAGAAGCAGGAGTGGAGTTATTTGAATAAAATCCCTAGTACAGGGAAACGACCATTCCTACTACATTCACCCAGCTGCTTTGTTTCACCTGAAATTTCTGGATGTTGAATCCTTCTGTAGTTCCACTTGCCACTCACTGATCTTTTCATCAGCACTGAGGACAAAGAAGGTGTGTGCTGAGTACCAGATCAGAGCACTGACACGGCCTGGAGCCTGGTGCATAAGACAAGTTTCATTCAGTATTTCTGAGGACCCAGGATTAACCTTCTTTCCCCTCCCAGACATACAAGCAACCTCTAGCCATAGCAGATACCAGGAAATACACAACCAGGGCAGAATTCATGTGGACAGAGAAATGAATTGCCTCAACTCACCTGTGCTGTGGCCACAGACTTAGCTTCCTGCCACAGAGTTAATTCCCCAACTTGATTGCCAGACACTGCCACAGAACCATCTGGTGCCCAGGCCACAGCAGTGATGGCTGCAGAACTCTTAGGTCTGTATATTTCATCTGGAAAAGGCAGGAAGTGATTTGTTAGGAGTTAAGCTACTGCCAGGCTACAAGAAATGACAGCAGTTACCCTTGACCTTATCTGTGTTGGTAACACAACCCTCTCTCATGCCTTGCCTCTGTCCATACCTCACTTACCTGTTTCTTTAGGTACCTGCCAGAGCCGCACAGAACCATCCTCTGAGGAGGTGAGCAAGAGGCCTGAGGTCTCTGAAACAGCAGCTGCACTGACCGGGCCACTGTGTCCCAGAAGGGTGTGTTTTTGGCACACCTAGGAGGAAGGGTTTCAGATGGGCCATTAAGGGGTCTGCCCCTACAGATGATTATCCCACATACCTTCTACACCTTCCCCCACCCCAGTTTTTTGCAGGGAACTCACCAAGAGAGGATGCCACAACCGTGTGGCCCCATCCAGTCCAACAGTCACCACTAGAAGCTCTGATCCAGGCTGTCCAGCTGATAAGAGACAGACCAGGTCAGAAGAAGGAGAGAAGCAAGGGAGCAGAAAAGAGGCAGGGAGGAAGGGAGATGGGTGACATGTCACTACCTGGGCAGGGTTCCAGAGCAGCTGCACAGTGGCTGATGGGTCCTGAGTGAGCAGGGATGCTGGTCAGCTCCACGCCCTGATGGTCCCACACCTTCAAGGCCCCATCCCGGCCCACGGACACCACATGTTCCTCCTGCCCCCAAGAGCACAGGATCAGAACAGGGTCATACTGAGAAGGACATGGGAAGTAGGACTCCCTCTAAGAGCATCAGGGACTGGGAAGATGTCAAAGAATGAGGAGAACTCAGGAACAGTGGAGTTGGGTGGCTCAGGCCTACAATCCTGCCACAAAGTCATGATACTAAGATGCCATATTTTCATGTTTCCATCTCTCTCTGTATTTTTCTCGCCCTCTCTCTTTCCTCATATCAACCCTCAGCCTCAACCCTATAATCCAGTCCCAAGTATCTCATTCTTTTCACTCCTAGACTAGGTACTCAATGCGTCCAGCCTCCCAAAGCCCCCTATCATTTCCAGAAACACCCAGAAAACTCTATTGCATTCTCACCACAGCCACTACAGCGCTCACGGCACTCTGATGGCCTCGGAACTGGCCAAGCTGTTGTCCCGAATCTGGGTCCCAGAGCCCCACAGAGCCATCCGTGGAGCAGGAGAGCTGCAGAGGCAGAAGTCAGAAGAGTGGGACTATTGGCATCTCTTCAGCATCTCTGTATGTTCACAATGTGGACTGGAGGGTAATAAGCCTTGTAATCAAGAGCATGGGCTATCCCAGGCTCAATCCCAGCTTGACTATTCATTGCTTTGTGATCTGGGGCAAGTTTATCTCTCTGAGCCTTGGGCTGCTCAACTATTCAAGGAACATAATGATAGTGTATCTCTTTTGAGACAGTGATTTGGGAGCTGGGTGCCTCTATATAAAGGACTTAACACTCTGCCTGGTACACAGAGCATAAAAATTATTATTCTTATGGTTAATATTACGTCAATCAACAAATCCAGATAAAGATGAAAAATCCACAACGCTAAGGAGAGCTCTGTCTGTCTAAAAGGCAGGGGTAGGATAAACTATTCAACTGATATTCCCTCCTTTCTCATCTCTTCTCTACAGTGGAAAGCTAGGCTTTACCAACACTAAGTGCAAAATTTGAGACTCAAGTTGTGCCTTAGAACCAAAGAAGTCATAGCAGTACCTTCAAGCTGCAGAGCCAGGGAATCCCAAGCTCTAAAGAGACAGTATTGTCTTATTGTTAAGAACATGGGCTTTTCTATCAGGATGTTTATTGGCTTAGCTTTATAATTGACATGACTTTGGAAAATGTTCATTATTCTATCTGAATCTGTAAAATAAAGATAAACGAGTAGGTACTTTACAGGGTACTATAAAGATTAAATGTAACAATATTATTCAAAGAGCTTCAAATGAGCCTGGCACTCAGTAAACGGCACTAAGTACTTTGTAAATGTTAGATATGATTATTATTAACAAGTGCTAGAAAAGGAGTGTTGTCTTCCCCCAGGAATACTGCTGGACTCTGCTGCCCCTATTCTGGCACTCACCAGAAGGTTGTTTTTGGTCCAGGAGCATCCAGTGACCCAGTCACGATGACAGGCAGGGAAAGAGCGAATCAGAAGAGGGGTTTGGGGCATCCTCACGTCCCAGCAGAGAAGATTCTGGATAGGTTCCAAGGACAGCAGACAATCAGGATCATAGGAGGGAGATAGGAAAACAAGGGCCATTTCAGGTAAAAAGTTTTCAGGAGAGGGAGCACAAGAGATGATAGAAAGATTTGCAGGAGATTTGGCAGAGCAAAAAGCAGGAGGAAGTGCTGGGAAATGGGTTGTTTAAGAAATCCAGGAACCCGAAAGGCTGCAGGGCCCTGGGGATGTGTCCCTGTTCAGCTCACCCGATCCCTGCCCCCAGTGGCCAGTCTGCCTCCATCAGAGCTGAAGCTGCAGCAGTTTACAGGGCCCTGGTGTCCCAGGAGCTCAGTGTCACAGGGAAAGTCTTCTGCCTTAAGCGGCTGTGTCAGCAACTGCCTCGACCACAGCCGCACCGTGAAATCCTCTGCATTGGAAACAGAATAGAAGGATTTCTGAAGGAAGGAGCAAGATAGTCCTGGGAGGCCAGAGACAAAGGCAATCACGTGGACTAAGGGTGATGTCTAAAGCTACAGCTTCAAGGGAGGGAGGCAGTGAGTCACTTGATGTGGAGAGGCCCTGGTCAAGGGTCACACAGAAATGCTCGGCAACTCCCAGCTCCAGCTCTGTAGCTTAGGCAAGGAGCTCCACATCTCTCTCTAACTTCACAGGGCAGCTGCTCCAGGGCCCTCCCCTTCTCAAGGGTGCAGTGTCACTTTCAGCTTACTATTTGTGAACATCAAGCCTCTGGCCACAGAGAACCAAGCCCATTCTGCATTTTCACCTCACATCTCTCTCTCCTCCTGAGGGAAACCCATCTGTTCACACTTTTATGTGTTTCTCTCACTGGGCAGAAACTCAAAGCATTACTGGAAGTTTAGAGGTCCCAAAATGAGGGTAGGGGAACAAGAAGAAACAGTCTACAATGATTATAGAAGACAAATGCATTCAAAGCACCATGAAAGTTGTAAGCAAACAGACATTGCCCATGTGTATGTGTTCTCATACATACATGTATGTAATTATAACTTGAAGGCAGGTATTAGCATATTTAAAGGAATAATTTGGTAATCCTGCCCTCTGTTCAGTAGTACCTGAGGCAGCAGCCAAGAGTTCCTGGGAGGTGGCCAGTCCCAGCACAGGCTTCTGGGATCTGGACAGGAGCCAGAGGGACTGGAGGGAGTGTTTGTTGAGCACCCAGCCCTGCAGGGATCCGTCTTCTGCACCACTCACCAACACCTTGGAGCTTAGCCAGGCCAGTGCAGACACTGCTACATCTAGCACCTGACACTGAGCTCCCTGGGAACCTATGGAATACGAGAAGAGAGTAAGACATTTGAAAAGGGGTGGAGCAAGACGTATGCTCTTTCCAAAGGTACAAAAACCCATCCACTTTCCCTTTGGTACCTGAAGATATTTTGTAGATCCTAATGCCATCTGCTCTGTACCCAACAGCCACCCGGTCACCATCTGGGCTGAGAGCCACAGAAAGGGCAGGAGAGACAGGAAGAGAGCCCAGACATCCCCGAGGCTGTCCCAGAGACCCTGACCACACTTGAACCTGGGAACAGGAAAAAATGACTTAAGGATACTCTATCTCTACCACCCGGTACTTCCCACCAAAGGTACAGTCACCCCAGTAATGTCCTTCCATGAGAACTGCCCATGCATATACCACACCACTCTCCCTGTAGCTGCCACCATCTGTGACTCCAATCACCTTGACAAAGCCCCCTGCCTTCACTCAAGTATTTTCTATCTTCACTACTCCCTCCTAGAAACCCACAATGTGCCCTCTGTAAACTGACCTTGCCATCCTCTCCAGCTGTCAGCAACTGGCACCTGGCATTCAGGAAAAGCACAGCAGCAACAAAGCCACAGTGGGCGGAGAAGGCAGCCAGTCGTGCCCCATCTTGCCAGGCCCACAGCTCCACTGTCCTGTCCAGCCGGCCAACAGCCACAACCCTTCCAGGAACATTGAAGGCCAATGTCCGGACAGAGGCTCCTGGGGCGCCCAGTTCCTACACCAGGAGACCAAAATGGAAATGTCAGGGCCGACTCTTAGCATAAGCCCTAAGTGATACAGAATGCAAATGTCCATCATTTCCTTCCTCCCACTCCTGTCCTCAAGTGCTTCCTCCCCAGGGATTACACAGGACCTTACCTTGATGACTTGGAGGCCATCCACCCGGAAGAAGCTGACGCTGCCACCCCAGCTGCCTGTGGCTACTACCTGCCCTTCAGGGTGGAAGGCAATACAGTTCAGGGACTTGGGACAGGTGTGTCGAAAGGCCAGTTTCCCACGAACTGTGTCCCACAGCTAAAGAGAGAGAGAAGAAGCTTCAGGGTATGAATACAGATGCCAGAGTTTCTTAGTCCCAAAGCTCCAGAGGCTACCTTGTTTAGTCTCCTACCTCAGCAGGTAGGATCTCCCTGCCATATGGAGAGAACAAACTTACAAGGCTCACTCACAATTTAGGACCACTTTGTCATTACCTTTAGGCATCCTCCAAGGCACACAGTAGCCAGCAGCCTGCGGTCTGGGCTCAGGCAGCAGCCGGTGATTTGGTACTGGTGAGCCTTGGTCTGAAGCACCCTGTCCCAGGAAGACAAAGTCAGGTCTCTGGGGCTGCCTAGCCATAGGCTCCCTCCTCATTCCTTTTTCCCAAGGAAAGTAAAGGGAGTCCTCACTAGGAGACATGGGGAAAGAAACCCTTACCGACAACCATGCTGCAGGTCCCAGAGCTCCAGTAGCCCATCGAAGGCAGTAAGGAAAAGGGCACTCTCTGAGAGGAATGCACAAGAGGAGATTCCATCACAGCCACTCACCACAGACTTCTCCTCCTATGAGAGCAAGCAGGGAGGCATGGCTCGGCCACTCCCTCCACCCTCCATGTCCAACCACTCCAGGCCCCAACCAAAAATGAGACTAAGACAAGAAGGGCTTAAGCCCTTAGCTCTCTGCATTCCCAGCTATAACACAACTTCTAGTGGGGCTCATGATCCAAGTAGGGAAAAATCTTCACTCCAAACCCTATTCCTGTTCCCCAAGTCACGGGGTTTCATGGGTCTGAGGGAGTGAAGTTATATACATATATATATGGGGGTTACAACAAGTGGTAGGAAGAGAAGAAGGAAGCTGTGGCTATGGGACTCCCCTCCCCAGCCTAATCTGCCATTACCTTCTGCTGACATTGTTCCCAGAAATTTATAAGGAACATCTCCTGTGTCTTTTCTGAGGCTCCTCACTCAACCCAAAAGGCCTACCCTTCTCTATTCTGTGTCCCTCTTTCTAATACAACTCACACAGCTCTTAATTATGGCAACAGCTGTTCTGGTTCCTTTCTAACCTTGTCTGTGTTACCTCCCAGTATGGCTGATCACTTAGTGGACAGAGACAATGTGCCAAGACCAAGCTCCCTGCAATACTTAGTATTGACTTTCTGACCAAGTCCTTTGACCCAATGTGAGGAGAGTCAAGTTGCTAATCAAACAGGATGATTATGGGTGTGTCTGGTTTCTCCAGGGCTTCAGGGTAATCTATGAAGGTTTTCTGAAGGTAACTTCTGGCCTGCCTTGAGTGTCACACCTGCCAAGTTCTCAGGTCCAATAGGTAAACTGTCCCATTGGCAGTTCCCACAGCCGCTCTTTGCTCACTGGGGGAGAAGGCCACAGCAGTAGGAGATGAGGAAACTGCCAGAGACAAGCTGGAGCTGGAGGAAAAATAGGAATAAAGAAAGAAACTGAACGGAAGAAAGCAAATGGGAATATATTTCATTTCTGTGCCTGAAATTCCCCTCCATGGTGATTCTGGTCTGTCCTTTCTTCTCCAGTTTCAAAAAGGGCTATAGCTGTTCTCTGTGGGCTTTGCAGGACTTGGCATCAAGGGTCTTACTTTTGCTGATCCCCCATGGTCTGGGGTTTATTAAGCCAATGTAGTGTACGCTGGAGGTGCCAGCGCTGGGACAGCAAAGGAGCCTGGCAGCAAAGAGGTGAGTCCAGAGGCTGGTTGACTGCCTGCTGGTACAGGAGTAGTGGGTATTGGCTGAGGATTGGAGCCTGCTGCTGCAGGAAGGTGCGGAATACGGCAACATTAGCCTCAGGGACCATTTGTTCCTCTTCAGAGACTGAAGAAGCTATAAAAAAAAAAAAGTGAAGTGAGATAGAGTGTCACTGGGGAGCCAGGCTAGACCCCACTAACTTCAGTACCAAATAAAAACATATGGTGTGCCTCAAACAGTAAGTCTCAAAGTGTGGCCTTCCAGCCTCAGATCAGAAACACCTGTTCAAAGGATAAAGCTTTGGGCCCCACTCCAGAGCTAGAAAAGCAGTATCTGGACATCTCTGGAGCTGCCATTCAAGCAGGTTTCCTAGATAATTTTTTGTGCACTAAATAAAAGTCAGAACCTCTAATCTAAGAGATTTAAGCAAAAGATCTCCTGAGGCTCATTCACTTACCCTCTTGGTATTTTCAACCTGGAATGGAAATTTGGCTCTTTTTCCCATTATACCTCCCTCTGCACAGGTCCCTTATGATCACACTCAGGAGTCCCATGCCTTAGAGAAAAAAAGTCGCAGTGACACATCTCACCATAGAGAGCATGAGCCTCCAAGAGCCGAGGGATCAGACCCAATTCCAGGTGTGCGGCCACCACATGGAGACTAGTGAGGAACTCTGCAAGAAGGCCATGGTTCCCACTATGGAGCTGGGGAGGTCAGATTGAATTCATTAGGAATGTGAAGAGGTCCCTGAGAAGGGACAATCTGCTCTTAGCCCTGCCTGTGCAGCCAAGACCTACACCCAGGTTAAAGGACCTGAAGAAGGAAGGCAGGAAAAATAAAAGGAGAGAGGCAAATGGAATGTGGAGGGCAGTAATGGCAGTGGTGATAGTAGTAGTGGTCAAGGGGAAGGGTCTAAGAATAGCCAAAGACATTATTTGGGAAAAGGTGACTATGAGGTTTGGGGACTAACCAGGTGGTAAGGCAGGTCTCCCAGAGCCTCAGGAGGGCAACTTTGGAAGGTGCTTAAGGCATCAGGACCACAGGTTTTCCAAAGCTGAGCTGTAACAGACATAAAAAAGAGCTCACTCAGCCCTGCAGTATCCCCAAGATCATATCTCTCATGCTACAGCATACTCATCTGCCTGCTAGAGTAGCAAGTGAAGTGTCCAGCAGATAGGAAGTGCCAGCCAGTAGGTGGGCCTGGCCTCCAGGTCCAGTACCCAAGCTGATGCGGGTTACAATCACCTGCAATGAGGATGTGTGCTGTGTTCTCCAGCCCTGGCCTCTTCCCATAGCGATGTTTAGCTGCTGTCCTCAGGGGCCCATCAGGAAGGCAAAGGCGGGCACCAGGGCGCTCCAGAGGGCCTTCTCCCAGCAAACTGTCCTCAAGAGAGGAGAGGAGAGGAGCAGAGGGGAAGAAGGAGGAGATCTGTCATTGAGCAACCTGGCAGAGCAATGGGCTCCTGTTATCACCCCCAAACAGTGGTAACTAGAGCAGCAGCTCCCTAAAGGCTTGGAAAGGAGGCATTGGGGCTATAGGAAAGGAAGTGTAGGATGAAGAAAGGATTACATGGAGCCCTGGCTCAAAGATGGGAAGGCAAAGTGAGGTTGGTGGGGACTCAGCTGGGGACACCTGTACCTGCGCAAACTCTGGATGAGGTAAGCGAAGGGGCCCATGGGATAGGGGTCTCCATTGTTAACAGCATCCACTGCTTCTTCCCAGCTCTGAGTCCTGCTGGGAAGAATCTGCCACGCACTCAGCACTGCATGCAGCTGGTCCATAGTCAGACCTGAAAACCCAAGTTCTCTGAGGTCCAAACCTAACCACACAGTGTACCCACCCCTATAGCACTTGATCCCTCCTTCACTACTGGCAGAGATCCCACCAGAACCAAGTTTATCTGACCCCTAAACCCTCAGCCTTTCCCAGTCTTCCCCAACCACTAACCATTACGTGTGACTTCGAGGGTGGCCAAGGCTTGGGGGAGGACATCATGGCCATGCTCTTGCTCCAGAGTGCTCAGGATGTACTGCAGCAGCAGGGGGAGAGTTGCAGGCAGGGTCCGCAATCTCTCAGACACCTGGGAGAGGAAGGAGACTAGACTTTGTCATTGCAGGAGGCGGAAAGGTAACTTTGGTGGCAGAGTAAGAGAGAAGCAACAGAAAGAAGAGTGGGAAGGAATGAAAAAGTAAAAAGAAACAGGTGGGAAAGAAGTGGTGGTAGGGTACGGTGAGGATGGGAGTAGGTGATCACAGATGGCAAAGGATGACAGATTGGAGGTGAGATAAGTCCAAGAAGCTGAAAGAAGAATGTGAAGTGGGTCAAGACTTAGAGATTACGGAGCAACCAACCTGTTCATAGACTGTAAAGAGTCTCAGGTGATCAGTGACCAGGCGCAGGTAGAGTGGCAAACCTGACCCCCTCTTCACCAGCAGCAGCCGCATCTGATGAGACCTCAGAAGATTCAGTGTAGGAACCAGGAAGCCAACCACTGCCTGCCTCTGCCCCCAGCACCAAACTAAATGCAAGACAACTCCTCTTCTGAGAGTCCCATCAGGGGACAGGTCCATGGCATCACCTCAGGATACAATCATCCCTCCTACTTCCCAGCCAGCCTCTCTGTCAGGGAAACTTTCTTGGCTCAGCCTACCCTCCAGAACCACAGCTTTACTCAACCCTCACTCCAATAGACCACTCACCAGGGGAAAACATCTGGGTGATTTTACAAGGAATCGTGTTATCGTATTAACAACTTCCCCTGGTAGGGAGTATTTGAGAAAACAAAACAGCTGTCTCTGTGAGGCAGCTGGCAGCCTCAGTACACTACAGCTTCAGCACTTCCAGATCCACCCCACATACCCAGTCAACCCTGGCCTGGGTCCAACCTGGTTGTTAAAAGGTGACTCTTCCAGCCGCTTTCCATACAGTACCAGCTCCTCTCTCACCAGCTGGGCCCGGGCAGATGGCTCCAGAGGCCCCAGGGCCACAACGTGAGCACCTTGGCTCTGCTCAAGGGTCTCCCCAAGACCTGAGTCACTAGACATGCTCAGCACAAGGTGCACCCACTGGGATAATCAGGCAAAGGACCAAAGAAGTAGGAAAAAGATGGGGAGAACAACATTAGAGAGGCCCCTCTCCTCCCAATACCATCCCTCCTTCTCTCTAACCTGTCTCCCACCCCCACTTCCATTTCATACTCACCCGGGGAAGGGACTTTGGGATCCAGTCTGAGATCTGATGCCCATTCTGGTCCACCAACCTGTCGGCCCCATCAATGATCAAGACCAGGGACTGGTCAGGTTGCAGGCACTGAGCAGCCTTGGGCAGCAGCCTCTGATGCAGCTCCCACACCAGGCCTCTGCATGCAGAGGAGAAGCCAGGGTTAGTGGGAGACAGAGATATAGCAATGAGGCTGGGTGACCAGGGGATACGTACCGGTAAGTGCTGGGCAGGGCACTGGATTCTTGCAGTTTTCTGTGTAGATATGTACAGAGGCGTCTGAGCAAATTGAGGGCAAGACCCTGGTCAGGGCGGGCCCCTGAAAAATGGAAGAAGACTAAGGGGGCCACCTTGGCCCCATCAGGAGCCTGCATGGCTGACACAAGGGATGCCTGCATGGGAAAGGAACAGAAACACGGTCACATTTTATTACATGCCCAAGTGCGCCATGTCCCACCTCCTTAGCCCATACAGCCCTCCCCCCTGCTTGGGCCTTTGAGATTCATACCAGGAAGGTCGTCTTTCCTTGTCCTGACTGCCCAGTCACCAGGCTCAGCCTCCCATGGGGCTGCATCAGCTGCCGCACTGTGTCCTGAAGGAGGCGCAGTCGGGCAGGACTTGGTGGGTTCCGCTGCTGCTGAAAGGTGGCCTGGACCAAGTCATCATCAGGGATGGGGACTGGCTGTTCCATCTGGGCCCCAGGCTGAAGGTATATGGGGTATAGGTATATAAGGCATATAGGTTCCATGTTTTCATGCTCCTCAATACCCCCAGGCCTAAACAGAGCCCCTACCCTGATACTTCTCATGCAGGACTACCCAGACCACTTATACCCTCTCCTTTGCTCTGGCTATCAGCCCTCATGCTGACCTGTAGGTAAAGATTCTGGATCATATTCCACACATCCTGGAGAACCAACTGCCCAAACTCCTCCAGTCCCCCAACATAGGGCCGGCCAGCTGCTACGCCCCCCCATTCACAGGAATATCTGCAGGGAAAACAAGCACAACCACAGTCAGAGTGGTCCTGGCTCCCCCACTCTATCTCTATATACAGGTGCTCTCTACCTCCCTCAGCTCACCTGCGGCAGGTAATCTCTTTCTGTCTGCTCAGGTAGCTCTTCAGTTCTGAGATGCGATGTGCAGCCTCTTTTGACTCAGAAATAAAGTCAGGTCTCCAGGCATCTGGAACAGAGCTGAGCACCAAAGACACCCCAAGAATGAGGCTAGACTCAGAACCCAGTCTTCCACCTCTAGCCATCAGATATGGGTGTGACTCCCTGAAACTCCTCAAATATAGGTCTCCTGACTTCAACTCCAAGGCTAATTTGGGGTGCAAAAGCATGCTCTCTGAGTATTGTTTCTCCCTGAGTACTATTTCAGAGAGTACCCCTGAATGTTGGGGAGAGAAGACTGAGCCTGTTTGGCCTCCTGGGGATGAAAAATTGGCCCTGGAGGAAACAGAAGATACCTGAGGAAACTGGAATCCCGAAAGTAGATAAGAGCTTGGGCAGAGGGCTGCAAGCGTTGGTTCCGATTCAGAAACTGCATCACCTCCATCTCTGTCACAGAGCGCCCTGAAGGGTACTGTTGCACCTGCAGAAAGAGGGCACAGACACAGATTCAGTCTAAGGTCATACAAATCTCTCCCTTGAACTGCAAAGGCCCTAGGGCTCTCTTGTTATAATAAAGACCTCCCTCCCTTCAGACACATTCAAGAAAAGATAGCTAACAGCTAACATTATTGAATACTTGACATGCATTAAGCATTTTTAAGATAGATTTTTATACTGGGTGTGGTGTTGCACGCCTTTAATTCCGGCGACTCAGAAAGCTGAGGCAGGAGGATGGCAAGTTCAAGGCCAGCCTCAGCAACTTTGCAAAACCCTCAGCAACTTAGCAAGACCCTGTTCAAAATAAAAAATAAAATAAACACAATAAATAAATAAATAAATAAATAATAAGAGAAAGAGCTGGGAATGTAACTTAGTAGTAAAACACCCCTGAGTTCAACCCTCAATCCTAAAATATATATATATATATATATATATATATATATATTTCTCATAATAACCCTACAATGTAGAAGTTGTAGCATCTCTTTAACAGGTAGGGAAATTGAAGATGGGTTAGAATACATTGCTTCCAACAAGGCTGCAACACCTGTGCATGTCAAATCGGAGATCAAAATCCAGATTTCTCTGATGGCAAAACCTAAACAGATCTCTTACCTCTCACATCTCTTGGCCAATTCTAGAGAGATTTCTCAAAGGAATTTCCTCATGTAGGATCTGGTCAATCACAGAATCATCTGCCTGTGTTTCACCTCAAGCCTCAAGGACTTTTTTTATACAGTCCCTGTATACAGGGTTCCTGACAAACTGTGACTTTTCCCCACCTGTTTCCTCCCCAACCCCTCTTCCAACCTTGTCTGCCTTACCCAGGAGAAGTGAGGATGATCAGGGAGGTTGTAGTTGGGGGGGATGTAGCCATAGCGAGAGCCCAGGATCCCCACAAACAGCTGCGAGTTCTCCACCTCTCCGAGGCACACTTCCAGTTGTCTGTGGGCATGGTTATAGGAACATGCAGGAGTCACTGGGGCACAGTGTCAGGGAATAAATACGGCACAAGTACAGGGGAGATGGGGACCTAGCTCACACTGAGCAAAGTGAAGGCAGGCTACTCTTTTTTTTAAATTTTTTTTTATTCTAATTTGTTATATATGACCAGGCTACTCTTGACGGCATCCAAGAGGCAACTAACTCCCTGCCTTCAGACTCATACATTTTTTTCAAAAAATATTTTTTTAGACGTTGATGGGACTTTATTTATATGCACTGCTGAGAATCAAACCCAGTGCCTCACACATGCTAGGCAAGCGCTCTACCACTGAGCCACAACCCCAGATCTGGCCTCATCCATTCTTACAGCCCCCAGACTGCCCACTACTTAAGTTCCCACTCAAGCCCCTGGCTCTGACCAAGCCCCTTTCTCTTTGCCCCGGCACCTGTTCCTGTGGCTCTCCTCCTCAGTGATGCCCCAGCGCAGGTCTATGCCATGAAGGCTGATGCGGTGGGGGGCTGCTCGGGCCTGTAGTGCTGGCAGTACAGACCTCAGCAGCAGGTCACGCTCTCCATGCATGTCCCGGAAAGTGGATGAAATGAACAGCCGGATGCTGCGCCACCTGGAGGTAAGCAGAGGGCTGGGCTCAGTCTAGGGATCAGCCACCTCTCAAATCCATACAACACTGCTGCAATCACCCTTCAACACTGAGCAACAGCCAGGTATGACAGACAGCAGGAGGGTGCCCTACAGGCCTCCAAAATGCAGAGCCCTGGAAGTTAAGCTCCACGTGCCATTTTTCCTGCACCCCTCCTTTTCCAGCTAATGATTATTATGTACTTACTATATGCTCATGACAACACTGTGAAGTAAACATTGTCTCTATTACCAATCAAAAAGCCATTGCTTTAAGAAATTAAGCAACTAACCCAAAGTTCAAACTACCACTTGGCAAAGCCATGTTCCTAAGTCCTCTGCCTAAACCCTGGCTATATGGCTATAAGGCCTCCCAATAGAGAAAGGTACAAGTTCACAATCTGACAATTTCTGTTTTTAGAGAAGACAATAACATGCTTCCTCTTTCTCTATAGTGAGATGCAGCAGTTGTGGAGGAAGATGTGGGAGAGGGGAGAGTTCCACAGGGACTGAGCAGTACTCAGAGAGACCCACTGGACAGCCAAAGACTGTAGGTACTTTAGTGAATAAAACAAGTGCCATCCCAAAAGCCACAATGTAAGTCATGAAATTTCTCAAGGTCTTGACTGCAGCCCTCCCAGTTCACAAAGATTGTTCACGGAAAAACAGCCTGACCTATGCTGGGAAATAGGAGCCAAGGGACGCAGGGTATCTTCTTCTAGTGGCCGGAGAGTCAGGACCTGGCTCTTCCCTGAGGGTGGTGGAATCTTGAATATTTTGTCCATTTGGCCCACATGCTCTAGAAGACGGGAGGCCCCATGCTCTGCAATGAACCTAACAAATAGCAACAAAATAAATGAGAGTAGAATCTTAGAAAGTCTTCTAAGAATGAGAACAAAAATATGGCCAAGTTAGGCCACCCAGGTTAACTTGAGCTCCTTAAGAAAATGACCAGCAGCAATGAAGGCAAAAAAGAGGCAAACAGACTAGAAAGCACTGATGATCTTGTGGTACTGGGGGTTGAACCCAGGGTCACTCTACAATGAGCTTTTCTTTTTTCTTTTTCTTTTTTTTAATGTTTTTATTAGTATATTTTAGCCATACACAATAGTGTATAATCACTTTTATATGCTATTTTGACATAATCACACATGCATGGAATATAATTTGTTCTATTTTGGTCCCCGCTGCCTCCTCCCTCTCTCCCCTTCTCCCTGCCACATGGTTTTCCTCCTCCACTCCACTGGCCTTCCTCCTATTTATTTATTGTTTTATAAATTGGTAATTCATAGTATACAAAATTATACTATATGTAAAGTTGAAACTCACTGTGATACATTCACATATGCACACAGCATAATTTGGTCAACCTCATTCTGCTTTTTATTTTGAGATAGGGTCTCACTAAGTTGGCCAGGCTGGCCTTAAAACCGTCAATCCTCTTGGCTCCATCTCTCAAGTAGTTGGAATTACAGACATGCACCACCACACCTGGTGTCAGACAATCTCTTAAAGACATTTTAACTGCAGTGTCCATCTTGTACTCACTTTAGTATCCCATCAGTACAGCCTGCGAGTGTCACATCATTGGGATTCAAACTTGGTAATCTGGCAAAGGAAGAAGCGGTCATTAAGCATCAGAAACTGTGCCTGGGACACAGAGTCACTGTCACAACACCCTCAGATATACATCCCACCTCTGCATTTTTAATAGGATTATGTATCTGAGGATGTAGATCAGTGCTAGAACATTTTCCTGGTATGTGTGAGGCCCTGGGACTGAACCACATACACACACACACACACACACACACACACACACATACACACACAGGGTTAGGTGCTAGGCTAGATAGAAGGTGCCAGACAAATGAAAGCTTCCAAGCTTTGGCAGGAGTAGAGTGGAAATATGGATCATTATCTTCTGACACTGGTAGGGAGTACAGGCAATCTTACATGTATTGTGTTTTTCTTAGGCAGACACCAACAAAGAGACACTTGGAATTCACATGCTCCCAGAAAAGCTGTTTGGCTGCATTTAACATTTCCTCATCCATCCTTTGGCCAAAGAGGATGACCCTGTCCACCTGTAAGATGAAAGGGAACAATAGAAGAGAAACTAAAGCAGTTGGGACATCAAGAAAAGAGAATTGAAAGGACTGGGGGATTAGGAGAACTCTGAAAAGGATGTTAATTGCCTCTTCTGAGAGTACTTAGTATGAGGGAAGCCGCTATCTCCAGAACTTGGGCACATCACAATGGAGATTGGGGTGTAGGCAGTGATGTGCTGTGGCTAGCTCATTTCAGCTCATGAGAGCTAACTGATTAATTTCTAGGCATTTTTGAGCTAGTTATTAAATACTGACATTTTATCTTATTTTTTGGTGCTATGGATTGAAACTTGGGCCTTTTGCATGCTAGGTATGGACTCTACTGCTGAGCTATACTCTCAACCAATATGGCCATTTTAAACATTAAATTATATAAACATGAAATTAAATAAATTAAGGTTTGGGGATGTATCTCAGTGACAGAGTGCTTGCCTAGCATGCACAAGGCCCTGAGTTCCACACTCAGCACTGCCAAAAAAAGGAAAGAAAAAGAAAAATAGAAAAATTAATTACATTTAAGACAAAGGTAATAAATCCTCAAAACTTGTCACTTCCGAATTATCTTATTATCTACTCTTGAGCTTATTCACAACCCTATCAGTACTGTGGAATGTGACGGAGCAACATGATATCAGTAGCTTGAAGTCAGCCATGATTGGACTGCTTATTATGGAAATAAGCAAGCACTATTAATCAAGACTTATTTCTCCAAACTGCTGGTTATTGAACATTCATCAGCACACTACTGGGTAGGAGGCTGCAGCAAACAGGGAGATGAACACTGTAGATAGTGTGAAAAATTAGCTTTGAGGGGTTAAGAAATGAGATGCAGCAGTTATGGGGGAGAGAGTTTCACAGGGACTGAGCAGTACTCACAGAGACCCTCTGGACAGCCAAAGACAGTAGGTACTTCCCAAAAGTATGCAGGGGCCATTCATCCTTTTCCTCTAACTCCTGAAGGAGAAACTCATGTTAGAGGTTCACATAAGATGATCCATGCTCTGGTGTGGATTTGGATTGAATGTGTTCCCCCAAGCATTCATGTGTTGAAATTTGATCCCCTTTGTGAGATATTAAGAGGGTAAAAACTTAGTCAAACTATAGTATTAAGAGATGAGGCTCATTGGAAAGTGTTCAGGTCATTGGCAGAGTTGTTCTTAGAGGAGACTAAGGTAACTCTCATGAGACCCCTGAGCTCCTGCAAGAAGCAAATTGTTACAAAAGCCTAAGCCTGGCCCATGAATTGCTCTGTACTTTCCCATTTCAGGATGACATCTCTTCCTCTTGCACATGCTCTCCACCCTGAGTTGCTTAGCAGAGCCAATCTGATGCCAGTGCCATGTCCCTGAACATCCAGAACTGTGCATGACATAGACCCCTTTTCTTTATGAAGTTAGGCCTTCTCAGGTATTTTATCACAGCCATGAAAACCAAACTAATACAATCAATAAGCAAGAAACACCACAGTATATTTGGGAAAATCTTCAGAATGGTATATATCCATGCCTTTATTAACCATTTGGGCTGTTCCCGGGTCTGTGTCCATTTGTGTACTGTTTTGATGATGGGGGTGGGAATCTGACCTGGACGTGAGCCTGGAGCTTGATGGCAGTCTTCAGGATACCTTCTTCTGCCTTAAGCACTATAGTCTTCAGTGTGCCTCTTCCACACAGCAAGAGATCCACGTGCTCTGCCCGAGCCATCATCATTCCAATCAGCAGCAGCACATAGTTCAGCGAGGGCTGAGGACAAGCATTAGGGTGAAATAAAGCTCCCCTGTTTTGGAACCCACCCTTGACCACCTTCTCCTAGAGGCCAAACACTTTCACTGGTTTGGGGGAATGGAAAAGGGGACAAAATCTCCAGTTAGGATGGTCAATTTCAGTGGCCCTCAGGAAAAGCTGACAGGGAAAAGGGTAGGGAGAAGCCAGGATCCCTGCCCAAATTCAAAGCTAGGATATAATGAGGCAAGTGAGATCAATTTTTGGTGACAGAAATTTAAAAATATGAAACACCAGCCAAATGTGAAATGTTAGTATTATAATCCATATACCAGATTGAGATCACATCCTAGCCCTTGTCACTAAGGAACCAAGGACAGATACTTGGAAGCAACCATGTCATTTATTTCAATCTGTATGCTTCCCTAGGAGAACCAGGTGCAGCATCAGGATACCTGTCAGAATCCCTAGCATCCTACCAACCCCAGGGAGGATGCTTTTTGGTTTTTTACCCCTTGTATGTTGCTCTTGGGACAGAGCTTGTCTGCATCAGCGTCTGTCAAGTAGACCAAGAGGGTGCGGCCTGGCAGCGGGGGAAGGCTGTGCTTCACAGAAAGGTTCACAGCTGCCTCCAGGGCCTGTCGATACTGGTCCAGAATCTCCAAGTCATAATTCCCTTGTCTGCAAAAAAAGACACAGACACAAGGGCTCAGGGGCTTATCTGCTGCTATTTTGAGGCAGGGAAGACAAGAACTCGCTGCTCCAGTTTACCAAGCCCTCTTTCTCCTCAGGCACAAGAGTTTCCCTTTGCCCCATTCTACAGGACTAGTAATCCATTCTTAGGGGAAGTCACCTGGAGAGCCCTCTCAGAAATCACTTGCCATACTTACTGCTGATCCATATTTACATATTTTTAAATTGTATTTTAAAGAACAAATACTAACTCCTTACTCTAAAAACTTGCAATTAAAGGAGAAAAAGATTCATCCTACCTTTCCTATACAATCTCTATATCAAGGTAATTAAATAGCTTTAGCATATGAGGGAGATTTTTTTTGTTTGTTTTTGGATTTCCAGCTAATAAATATGAGAGAATGATGGAAAATTCCTATTCTGCAACTGTCAATGAAGTAATTGGTTCAGAAAAAGATCATAAATGGATGAGGCTATCAACTCCCTAAGAGCACTGATCAGACTCTTATCCCTTTTGATCTTTCTTATATTTTATCAAGAGGCCCAGGATGAGATCTCTTCCTCTTGCACATGCTCTCCACCCTGAGGCCAGCCTCAGCAACTTAGTAAGACCCTGTCTAAAAAAGGAAAAGGGGCAGGGATATAGCTCAGTGAAAAAGTAGCCCTGAGTTCAACACCCAGTTCCGAAAGAAAGAAAGATTGATTCTTCAACACCAACAATAACAAAGGTAAATCTGAATGTACTTAGGCATTTAGAGTTAGTTCTTAGGGTATACAAAATAGAAAAAACAAGTTAGAAGATACCACGAGGAAGTAGACAAATCAAGAACATGGAACATTGTGGGGTCCCAGAGCCTGGCTTCTACAGCAAGTCAATAACATAAAAACAACTTAAAAGATTAAAAGTGATTTAAGAGATGGGAACAATCAAATGCAATGTGTAGACCTTGTTTGGATCTTGATTTGAATAAAACTGAGAGATAATACTTTTAGATAATTAGGAAATACGAATATGGACTAGATAATTAATGATAATTCCTAGGAATTGCTCTTAGTCTTATTAGTTGTTTTTTTAAAGCGGAGAAATTTACAGGGATAAAATAAAATGCGTCATATTATTTGGAATTTGTATTATAGTCATCTTCAAAAGAAAGAAACAGAAAAAGAGAAAAGGGAACAATAAAGAACATGTGATAAAATCTAGATTATCACTGAATCCAGCTAACAGTTTTTCACTACTGCTTTGAGTTTTGTTTTGCTTTGTTTGTTTATTTTTTCAGTGTTGGCAATTGAGCCCAGAGCCTCACGCATACTGGGTAAACACTCTACCATGGAGCTACATCTCCAGCTCTAGCTGACAGTATTAAAATAGTCTATTATCCTATTCTTATGTACATATTTAAATTTTTTCATTATACTTTTCAATCTAGACAATTCATTAGTCTTACCTACACTGTCCAATAGAATTAAATCATAATTAATTAAATTAAAAGCACACACATAATTTAAGATCTAGAAGGCACATTTACATAAAGTAAAAAGAGCTTGGTATGTAACTCAGTGGTAGAGCATTTGCCTAGCATATCTGAGGCCTTGGCTTCAATTCCCAGCACTTTAAAAAATAAAGAAAGTAAAAAGAAACAGATGAAATTAATTTGTTATTCAATTTCATTTAACCTAACATAGAAAAATTTCACACCAACATGCAATTAATACAAAAATTACAAGAGATATTTTACATTATTTTTTTAGACTGTCTTCAAAATCCAGCATATTTTAACACAGCTCAATGTCTTAACCCAGACCAGATACATTTTAATGGCCAAATAACCACCCATGGCTAGTTAACGGTTACTACACTGGTCTGGATAGCCATACATGTTAGATTGGTATCAAGTTCAACCTCAGCAACTTATTAAGACCTGTCTCAAAATCCAAAAAAGACTGATGATGTAGCTCAGTGGTAAAGTGTCCCTGGATTCAATCCCCAGTATGGGGGGAAAACAATACAAAAAGAAAAAAGAAAAAAAAGACCAAACCACAGGTGTCACAGAGAAGAAAGAAGACCATAAACTAGAGCAGTGAGAGAAAAAACTAAAATAAAAAGGAGATGCTTCATAGACTCAGAATTATGGGAAGCCATGAAACAACTACTCATAACAAAGTGGAAGCTGGAGGCACAGCTTTTGTTTCAACATCTCTCTATGGAAAAATGCTAAAGATAAGATGTGCTATGCTAGAAATGACTGGGACCAAGCAGGTCTGAGTCATGGATGGCCAATAAGCAGACCTTTACAAAAAAAGAGTTGGAGTTCCCAAGTGACTCCTATGTCCTGTCACCACCGTGCCTCTTACTGTCCACTTAAGGCTCCCAGATGGTGCACACACACCTGGCCTTGAGTATTTTCAGCTTCTCCCTCTGGAGTTGCTCATATATCGCAGGTATTTTCATTGCTGCTCGAAGCTCCCGACGACTTAGGTTGCAAAGATGCTTCCAACTGGCAGGCCTCCTGACCTTTTTTGATTTTCTTATCATTATCCGCCTCATCAGGTTTATATTGGAAGGAAAGGGCAATGCTGTGTGATGACAAGTAAATATCTGAATCAGGAAGCTTCTATTCCCTCATCTTGCCCCACCAGTGGTGTGTCCTGAGCCCTGATCCTTAGGGCTGTCAACTGTCCGACGTCTGCCCACCCCACACCCTGAGTCTTTAGGGCAAGAGGCTAAAAATATCAGAGGGGCTGTCTCATTTAGACACGAGGTAAGCAGGCGTTGTAAGAATTACCTCTATTTCTAAGTTGAGCCTCAAGGTTATCAATGGAATCATGGGCATTAAGGAATCTGAATGGAAACTGCCGACTGTTGATCACTGACTTCTGAAAAGCAAGAATGAGGACATGAGCAGAGGACGGGGAGGGTGGGGGCCAACAGGGCCTCAGGGATCAGGATGATGAAGTAACTACTTCATTAAATTTTGGGATGGTGAGCAAGGGAGAAAATGGAAGAAATACAAAGAAGGGAGAAGAATAAAAGAAAAAAGTTGTCATTTTAGAGTATGAGAAGAGGTAAAGATGGGGAAATAACAGGAGTCTCATTTCTTTCAAAATACACTCCCTCTGAAGTCAGTTAAATTACGGAAGGTCCTCTTTCTAGTAAGTCAATGAGCTCAGAAAATAAAAATGCAAGTTCTTACACTGTAATTTCTCAAAGGACTGGCGGAATCCCCAGGCCCGTCTTTCCCAAACATGTCTACTTCCAAACCTATTTATAGCCCACATGAAAACAGACTGGTAGTGGCCATGGCCTTCCTCAGCCATCTGGGAAAAGTCTGGCTGCAGCAGCGGCACCTCCATACCCATGTCTCATCACTAGGCCTCAGTGGACCCCCTGCCCACATGTACCTCATGCTGGAGTCTCTGGAGAATGAGCCCATGGTGGCGGGCACTGATGCCAACCCGCAGCAGGTTGCACAGGTTCCGAAGCATGGCCATGAAAGGAAGCTTCCCATTGTCTGTGGAAGGTGGGACACCAGGTGAGGAAAGCAAAATGAGGGATAAGAGAGAGGTCAGAGGCCAGAGCAAGTTCAGAGGCCATGTGGAAAGTTCAAAATAGAGGGAGTGAGGGACTAACATATGATCTATTCTACTCAAAAAGTTTTAAAGATCTGGAAAGACAGAACCAGGATTGGCCTAAAGCATGGAGCAAAACAACACTGTTTATACAATAGCTGTTTCAATAAACAACTTACACTATATCTGATGACTCTAGTCCTGAGATTGGGTTCAACTGACAAAATGTATTCTCTAGTTAGGGCAGTGGTTTCTAAACTTCTTAGATAATTGAAGAGAAATTTCCTAGAGTAAGTTTGTTTGTTTATCAATTATATATATGTAGGGCATTCATTAGTTAATATTTCAAAGCATGATATATATACATGTAAGGTGTCACTATTTATAGTAACAAATATAAATCCATATTTCAAATATTCTTCTTCCTAATTTTTTAAGTTTTTTGGGCCAACTTCTCATAAAATCCAATTACTCATTATTTTTCATTTAAATATATGTGAAAAAGATTTGCATGGTCAGTACAACTTCATGTTTGTTGCTTTCTTATTGTTCACTTGTCCTTGTGATAATAGTATCTCTTTTTTTTAAGAGAGAGAGAATTTTTTTAATATTTATTTTTTAGTTTTTGGTGGACACAACATCTTTATTTTATTTTTATGTGGTACTGAGGATCGAACCCAGCGCCCCGCGCATGCCAGGCAAACGTGCTACCGCTTGAGCCACATCCCCAGCCCAATTTTAGAAGCTTAGTTTGGTTAATACTGAATATCATTCTAAATGCATCTACAATTCAAAGATAAGTTTCTTTAAGTCATATTATGCAAAATCAGAACAGCAAAGGGTACCCCCATTGCTCTCAGGCAGAACACCTACTCTTCCCTCAGTAAACCTCAATTATTGTATGTACTACATTACCATATAATATTTGGACTAGGTAACTATATGGTTTCCATCTCTATGGAAACATTCTTTTCTTTTCTTCTCTTTCTTTCTGCTTTCTTTCCTTCCTTCCTTTCTTTCTTTCCTTTCAGTGCTGACGATCGAACCCAGGACCTTGCACATGCTAGGCAAGTGCTCTACCACTGAGCTACATCCCCAGCCTTCATTCTTTTCTTTTAAACCAAAGTGAATATAAATAGGAAGTATGAGCTTTCTTTCCTGAATACTCCCAGAGGTTCATTGAGACTACTTTAGACCCCAGGCCTATGAGCCCTCCACTCTAAGGACTCACCCTGAGTACTAGCCCATACCACCAGCAGCTTCCACCCAGAGGATGATGGTACCTTTTTATCTAAGTCTCACTGCAATTGAGATAGAAGCTTTCAGCCTTCTGGAAGTTCTATGATTCTCTAGTCATAATTCTTTTTTGGTGATGAGTATTGAACTCAGGGCTGCATGCACGCTAAGCCTGCATTCTACCACTGAGTTATACTCCTAGCAAACAAGTGCTTTTTTTTTTTTTTTTGAGACAAAATCTTGCTATGCTGCTAAGCTGGTCTCAAACTCATAAGTTCACGAGTAACTGGTACTACAGGCAGGCACCAGTAGGCCCGGTTCCAGTCATAATTCTGATTCACAAACTGTATGGAAAATACTGTAGACATAATGTAAATGATGTTTGGTAACTAAGGCATGAATGCATCCATTATCATCTCAAGTTTTTCTCAACTGTTGCTTGAAAAACTATATGAAAGGTTTTCTAGATCATTTTTATAAGAAATAAAGTCATATTTATAACATTAGAAAATTAAACATTTATCTTTCAGATTGAGAAATTCACTGATTTAATTAAAAAAATTGTTCATTATTTATAAATGTTATTAATGAAACCTATGGTCTCCAAAAAAGGGTCTCTATACCTAACTACATTTTATCTTATATTTTTTACATTATACTTCGTGTGTGTGTGTGTGTGTGTGTATGTATACCTTGCTTCCAATTAGTTTCCTCTTTCATCTTTGAAAATTTAAAGTCAATTTCTCCTTTTGAAAAACATCTAACTTTAGACTTATATATACTTATGGTTATATTTGTTTTATATTCCCTTCTTTTATATTTATTTATGTGTGCATATAGATAATTTTTTTTCTTTTTTGCTGATACTTGGGATTGAATCCAGGGGCATTTTGCCACTGAGCTACACCCTTTTAATTTTTTTTATTTTGCAACAGTATCTCAATAAGTTGTCCAGGCCACCCTCAAACTTGCTGTTCTCCTGCCTCAGCCTCCCAAACAGCTGGGTTACAAGTCTGTATCACCATACTGGACTGGCTATATATTTCTATTTATGCATTTCCTAGAGTATAAAATATATTAGTACAAGAAGATAATTTTTTTTTAATTTGGTTCTAAGGATTTTTTTACCGCTGAGCCACATCCCAGCCCTTTTTATTTTTTATTTTGAGATGGGGTATCACTAAGTTTCTTAGGGCCTCACTAAATTACTGAGGCTGGCTTTGTTCTTGCAATCCTCCTGCCTCAGTCTCCTGAGTCACTGCGATTTCAGGTATGTGCCACCCACCATGCCCAACCAACACAGTTTAAATTTTCAGGGTCACTGGTTCTTAACCAGAGAGAGGAAGTGAAGATGGTACCCACAGGATCTTCTGCCTATACCTGCTGCCACCCAGGCTCCTTTATCCTACTACACCTTAACTTGTTTCAGTCAGGCAGGGTGTATGTAAATGTGTGTTTTAATTCCTAGGTGATTCTGAAATATACACCACCAGTAATACCTACACAGTGGGAAATAGTGACAAGCAGCTATGAAATTCAGGCTTACTTAAGTACAATCTATAATGGGCAGTGCACAGATTAAAGAATCAAAGACATCTGGGCTTCTAAAGTTCCAAAATATGAAGTCTACAAAACTTGGTCAAAAGATGTAAAGTTAGATGTTTTTCAACAAGGAGAAATTGACTTTAAATTTTCAAAGATGAAAGTAGAAACTAAATAGAAACAAGATATACAGAGAGAGGGTGGGGGAGCCTTCTATTGTTTAAAAAAAAAAAAAAAAAAAAAAAAACCTCAGAGAAAAAGAGGAACTTGGTTCTCCCGAATGTAAATTTTTTTTTCCTTTTTCAGAGTGGGCAAATTACCTAAAACTTCTATGTCCTAAATATGAGTTTCTGTAGAGATTCCAATATGCCAAAAGCCAGCCCTACCTTGTTTGAAATGAGTCAATGTTGATACAAGTACAGTCAGAGAAGAGGTACCACTTTTGTCACATGTTGATAAGACTTGTATACCACCAAATCACATCTGAAATAATGATCTATTTAGTGATGCCAACACTACTTCAAAGCAAACACCACTTTCCACTTCGGTGGAGTCAATGGTATACTTTATAAATCAAATCATTTTCAGGATGCAGCTACCAGGCAAGAGAAAAACTGCATCATGCCACAGAAGTCAGGGGTTTAAAATGTAGTGGATTAAATGAGGAAGAGAACAAGGGAGCACAATGGCAAGGTCACCCTACCAATGAGTTCCTCCCAAACGGAAGCTTTGTTCCCCCGCAGGCTCAGCTCCCGTTCCCAGGTCTCTGGCCGAGAGAGCTTCATCCGCTTCCCAGCTCTGCTAGAATCCCATGGTCCAGGGAGGCCACTCCGAGAAAAGAGCTGTAGGTTGGAAGGGTACCTAGGACAAAGAAGAAAGAGTTTCTCATTTCAAAGTTAACAGGAAATGAAAAAGGGAAGATGAGTCAGTCAAAGACAGTCATGTTTACAGGTCGTTTGCCCAAACGCATGTTGTTGGGGTTGAGAACTCCCAGAATTGGGCCATGGATGTTGAACTGTGATGGAATTACCTTGATGGGATGTATGTTTGGGCTGTAAGTTTCTCACCTATAGCCCAGCAGGGCTTGAACATGCTGGGCAGGCTCATGGATATGCAGTCGCTGTACCAACTTCTTCAAGGTGAACCTCGGCTGATTCTTTTTCTCTGGCACTGCATTGTAGGTGGCCTCAAACTGTGGAAAAAGCCCCAAGTTCCCACAGAGTTTGCTTCACTAGAATCAGGGCCTTTCTTCAGAAAGCAGAACCTGAGACCACCCTATACCTATGAGAAAATTTCTTTCCCCCAAATAGACTTGGGCAAAGAATAGGAATAGAGGGTAAAAACCTATAGCAACAAGAGCTTCCATGGCAAGAAAGATAACAGATTTTAAGATGGGCATAATGGTGTACCTGCACCTGGCTACTTAGGAGGCTGAGATAAGAAGGTCATTTGTGCCCAAGAATTTGAGGACAGCCTGAACAACACAGGCCCAATTTCAAAAAAAAAAAAAAAAGAAAAAGAAGAAAAGCAGGTTTTGGGGGGTCTCTATTTTTCATTCACATAAGATTGAGTTATTAGTGGTTAACATGGGATGACTGGCTTATGAAAACAAAGACAGAAACAGAATGAACACAAAACATCCTTGTTCTCTGAGGGAAAAGGAAAAGCAGCTCTTGTTTAAGTCACAGAGCTTCTGAACAAGTAAATGAAGGTGTTATGGTTTGAATGTGAGGTATCTCCCAAAAGCTCATGTGTGAGACAATGCAAGAACATTCAGAGGTAAAATGATGGGTTATGACAGCCTTAACTCAATCAGTGAAATTAGTCCCCTAATGGGGATTAACTGAAGGCGAGAGGGCATGGCTGGAGGTGGTGGGTTTGGGGGTAAATATTTTGTATTGGTGAGTGGAATCTCTCTCTGCTTTCTAATCTTCATGTGAGCCGCTTCCCTCTACCATACTCTTCCGCCATGATGTTCTGCCTCATCTCAAGCTCTAAGGAATAGAGCCAGCTGCCTATGGACCTCTGAAACTATGAGCCCCCAGATAAACTTTTTCTCCCCTAAAATTGTTCTTGTCAGGTCTTTCAGTCACAACAGAAAAAAACAAAACAAAACTGACTAAAACAGGAGGCATCAGCACAATGCAGCCTGTGAGGAGTTAAAAAGCTCAAAGAATCTTCTATGGCAAGAGTTGAGTTTAGGATATATTAATAGGATGAGGAGGAAAGAAGAGTTGACGAACTGGGAATGTGTCATTTTTTGTAATATCAATATATATTTTCTTTTTCTTTTCTTTTTTTTTAGAGAGAGTGTGAGAGAGAGAGAGAATTTTTTTAATATTTATTTTTTAGTTTTCAGCAGACACAACATCTTTGTTTGTATGTGGTGCTGAGGATCGAACCCGGGCTGCACGCATGCCAGGCGAGCGCGCTACCGCTTGAGCCACATCCCCAGCCCCAATATATATTTTCTTAATAAACTGTTTCAATAATGATGATGGTAATAACAGGACATATACCTCCCCAGAACAAGGGACTCACCTCAAGCTGTTCTCTTTCAAGAGGCCAAAGGGACTTTGCAAAGTATCTCTTTTGCTCAGAAAATAGAGGCTCTGTCCTCTACAGGGAAAGGAGAAGCAGTTTCAAACAGGGAACTGGACATTATCCTTAGAAACAACCATTCCAATAGGCCTGAAAATCCCTCTCCACCAGAATGAAGCCAGCTGGGAAAGAGGCCCTCCCTGCTCTTTCTACCCATCTCCTCTTAACCCCTCAGACTCCTTTAGTTCCTGGTGTAGAAACAGTCAGACTGAGTATTAGGACCCCGGGATCACCATGTTCCTTTGTTCCTTCTTTCCCACAAAAAAGGGGCCTAGATTGTGAATGACCAGGGCAGAGGCAGGGACTTACTGGAGGGCGGGGCGGACGGTTGGGGCGTCTCTTGGCACGATGCTTTCGTGGATTATACTTAGCCAGCTGGTATTCATCAAACTGTGCAAATTTGTCTGTCATAGCAGCACGGAGGCAGGCAGGCAAGGGCACCAGCTTTGTCTGGTCTCCTTCAGCCAGGCTCTGTCAGAGAGAGGAGCCCATCAGAAGAAAGACCCAACCACACCCTCCTAAACAAAACAAGGCTCTGGTGTTGAGTGTCCACCAAATAGGGAGCAAATTCCTAGCACCAGTTCTAAAATGATAATTTTGGTGATTGTGAGCAAGTCAGTAGTCTTCTCTGGTTTTTGTTTTCTTTTCTTTTCATTATAAACATAAGGTCCAGAATAAGGTAGATTTTTTTTTTTTTTCTGAAACTATAGTCCAACCCTTCTCAACAATACTCTTCCTGTTAGGCAACCCAGTCTGGTACAGAGAGAAGCTACTATCTGGGCACCAAAGCTGAGGAATGCTGAGGCAAGGCAGAACTGTCTCAGAATTTTCTCTAGGAATGCAGTGAGCAAAAGAGAAGAAACATAGTGAGGGCCAAAGCTCAAGGAAGTGAATGCCATACCTGGTAGAACTCTGCTACCTGGATCCAATCAGAAGGCAGGTGAACAATGGCACAGAAATATCGTCGCAGGTGTGGGCGGCACACTGGCAAGAAGGCAGCAATGGCCACGACTTTATTGGCCAAATCCCGGATATTCAGCTGCTGCCTGGCGTACAAAGCTGCCTAGGGCACAGAGCTTGTTTATTGAATCTGCCTGCATAAAACCTTTCCAGAGCCCTCCATATTGCCTACGAAATATAAAACCAGAGCCTCTTGGCTTAGCATATTAAACCAGGTTAAGCCATACTCTAGCTCTTAATTTCGTTTCTAGCAGGTCTTCTTCCGAGTCCAGATTGCCTTCCAAGTCAACCAGCCTCTTCCCTCTTTGGAAGAGGGTTCAGATCAACATCCATCAAAAAACTTACCAAAGGTTCAAATTGGTGATTAAACCCACACTCTTTCAAAGCCTTACAGAAAAATGTCTCCCACCCTTTTTCTGCTAAATAAGAAGTGCTAACTAATATTCTGAAATATTCACTTTCTACTACTCCACTTGCATTTATATGATATTTGGAGGAAGTGTTTCACTTTCCTAACAACACTATAAGTGCCTTAAGAGCCACAATCACATTTCATCATCTGCTGAGATAACCCTTGCAGCCTGGCATTGTGTACTTGCTAAACTAACCAACCCTGGTATTCTGTTTCCCAGGTTTATCTTTCTCCACTCTTCCCAGAACCCCAGGGACCAGGCCTCAGACTCACCCAGAGATTCTACATCCTTCCTAAGTGAAGTTTCTTCCACCCACAACAGAAGGCTAGTCACCACCTCCCGCATACGCCATAACCAAATTCCCCATTCCCACCCACTCCTTCAGACAATACCTTGAGGATGAACTCAGGCTCCAAGGGAGCAAGTTCAGTACAGACTTCAAGGATGGAAACCTGGGTAGGGTCATATGCATCTTTTACGTTTACATTTGAGGCCAAAGTAGAGCACAGCAAGCTCATGAGAGCCATCTAGGAATTGGGAAGAAGAGAGAAGGAAGGAGTAAGGTAATAAGCATCCATGCAGGACAACTTACAAAGAAAATGGACTCCAGGTTCGGGAAGACATCTGTCCAACTGAGGTTTGAACGGGGGATTAGGAAGTGATAAATAAGAGCTTGGTCATATTCCTCCTGGGGAAGGGCCCTAATCCAGGTCTCCATCCCAACCTCCCTTCCACCAACACCATCCTCTCTCCATCTCTATAAGTTTCACCTTTTTTTCCTGAAGGACCTGGTCAGTGGGCTCCAGATGAGATTCAGAGTCCTCAGAGGTGAGTTTCAGGGCCAGTTCCTCTTCTTCCTCTCCCAAGCTTAGACAATATAAAGGCATTGGGGCTTCTGCCCCTTCCTTCTCCTCTCGCTTTTTCTCTTCTTCTGAACAGTACCAATGACCCTAGGGATAGTGGTAGTTTTAAATCACAGCATGTACCCATGGCCCCTCAAATAGACGGATCTTAAGGCAGCTCCCAGAGGTAAATAATGACCACATTTCTATCTAGCACCCATAAGTCCCCTTCTTCATCCACCCAAATGGATAGGCATTGGTCTATCCTGTCTCTGACTTAGTGCTCTGTCACCCACATCTTTCCCAACTCAACCTTCAGAGCCTTTGCCCAGATGCTTTTAGGGCTTCCGCCCAGCTGTCATCTCCTTATTGATGTCATAGCCTGGGAGTCTAGGTCCCCTCACACCCTTCTAGAACAATATTAACATAGTTTTAGAGTCAGAAGAAAAGGAGCCAAATCCCATATGAATCCTCCAGAAACCCTGAATTGCTTAACTTCAGCTTCCTCATTCACTACCACTTCCATGATAGGGTCGTTAGGAAATTAAATGGAATAATGTATGTATGACTCTGCCAACTGCAAAGCCCTAAATCAGTGTATGATGGCAATAGTTATAATCCTGACAATAACCCTGTGAAGTATGTTTCTACTGAATTCATTTCAAAGGTGAGACAACTAAGGCTATTCTATTCTGAGTCTTGGCCAAGGTTGTCTACTTGTTGTCTATTAACAGATAATGTGGGGCTCAGGTTAGCATTCCCTTAGCTCAAACCCCAAGTCCACACAGAAGAAATGTGTCCTTGTCTATCAATTCTGACCTGTACACTAAATGTGCTTACATAAGTGTGTTTGGTGAACATATCTATAAGAATACAGACAGAAAACTGAGCTCTGATAGAACAGATATACCTCATGCCTGATTTCAAAAGCATGGACTGACTAGTATGCTAGAGTAATATCACACTGGTGCTCCTCCTAAGCAGAGGCTTTCTAAGGACAAGAACTGTTTTTGATCTATCGTCTAGTCTCTGAAATAGATCTGTAGTAAGAATAAATATGCTAAAGAAGACAGCCCCAAAGTAATGAGCACCTCAGAAGAGGCTCTGAAGAGAGAAGATACCCAAACACAGAGCAGTACAAAGGGAAATTGAGGCACCAAACACTAGTGACAAGAGCATTTAACAGACATGACTGGAGTCAAGTTGAGTGTCTGGAGGTATTACCTTTCTGAACTCTTTCTGTAGAGTTCCTTTCTGAACTCTTTCTGTAGCAGAGATGGATTTCAGGACCTTGGGGCAAGTCAGAAGGTCTAGTCCCTCAGAGAGACCCTGAGTACTCCAGCTGGGAGGCTCGGAGACCAGAGGATTGCTGGTGTTCAGGCTGCACAAATCAGTTTGCATCATGTGAGGTATCTGGAGACACTGGAACAAGGGGCTGGCAGACTCAGTACTCTTTACACTGGGGAGGGTAGCAAGACACCGGTTCTCTAAGGAGAGGATATCTGGGTGGGCAGACACATGCCTATGTGGTTTTTTCATGGCCTTCAGATCAAGAACTGTGACCAGGCACTGGCTCTTCAAGGAGAGGATGTCTGAGTGAGCAGACATATTTTCATATGTTTTCTCCAAGGGCTGCAAGACAGGGAGCATGGCCAGGCACCGATTCTCCAATGAGAGGATGTCTGGGTGGGCAGAAACATGCCCACGGAGTTTCTCCATAGCTGGAGCCCAACTTGCATATACCTAGAAAGAAAGAAAGATAGGTGATGAGAACTGGCAAAAAGGGAATGTATTTGCCCTGGCAATATGTCTTCCCCATATCCCTCCTGGTTATACTAGTGATTTTCAGATAGAAAACAACTAATAGCAGGCTGAAGCAGAAGCATCACAAGTTCAAATCCAGCCTCAGCAACTTAGCAAGATCTTGTCTCAAAATAAACTTTTTAAAGGGGTCTGGGGTTGGAGTTTAGCGGTAGAGTGTCCTGGGTTTAATCCCTGGTACTGCAGGGTGCGGGGAGGAGAGAAAGAGAAAGAGATGGGAAAAGTCTCAATAGCAGGAAAACATATATATATATATATATATATATATATATATATATATATCCCTAGGACAGGATTCATCCCATTTACCACCTAGGGAATATCCAAGGGAGAAGGGTAGGAAAGGGCAATGCAGAAACTTAAGAACAGGAAAATTTAAGGAGGTAAAAAGGAATAGCTGGAGGGGCAGTGTTACAGTTTGGATCTGGAATGTTTCCCCCAAGGCTCAGGTGTTGAAGGGTTGGTCCTTAGCTGGCAGGAGGTGGTGCAAACTTTCTCAGAGGTGAGACCTAGTTGGAGGAAGTAGGTCACAGCAGTGGGGGGAGGAGCTTAAAGGATAAATCTCATCCCCAGCCCCTTCCTCTTTCTTTCCCTTTGCTTCCCAGCTGCCATGAGATGAACAGCTTTGCTACACCCCATACTCTTTGCCATGAAGTTCGGCCTCACCTGAGGCCCAAAGCAATGAGGCCAAGAAACCATGGGCTGAAACCTCTGAAAACATGAGTCAAAAATAAACCTTTCTACCTTGAGTTGATTTATCTCAAGTATTTTGTCAACAGCAACAGAAAGCTGACTAACACAAAAAGGGATATGTCTTCTCATGAGGAGGTAAAAGAGACCCCCATGACTATTAATATGATTGAAACTTAGTAAAGGGATCTCACTTTTTTCTTCTTTATTTTCAGTACTGAGGATTAGACCCAGGGATGTTCTACTACAGAGGTCCATCCCCAGCCCTTTTTATTTGTTGAGACAGGGTCTTGCTAAGTTGCCCAGGCTGGTCTTGAACTTGTAATCTTCCTGCCTCAGCCTCCTGAGTTGCTGGAATTACAGATGTGCACCACTGTATCCAGCTAAAGGACCTCACTTAAAATGTCGACTCGAGAGTCAGAGCTGAAGAGAACAAATATTTTGATCAAATTGTTTATGCCTACCATTAAAATTTCCTTGTCCTCTACTCACTCTTCAATCAGCTAAGTGGGATTCTGTCCCTATTAGTCTACCAAGACTGTCGTCTTAGATAATGAATAGACTTTTACCATAAATGCAAACACACATTTTGGCCCTCAAGTAGAATATGACACTGTTGAACTCTCTTTGTTTTCCACAATACTATTGTCCTGATCTTCTTTCTTCTTACCACTATAGTTACATCTTTTATAGGGCTCTTTTTCTACCATTTCTTAACAGTGATGCTCCTTACAGTTCTATTCTAATCCTTCTGCATACTTTCCTGGGGTGGTCTCACTGTACCTACCGTATAGTACCAAGTAACATTTCCATGCTGCCAACTCACAAATTTATTCCTTGACCTAGATCTTTCCTCTGAGCTCCATATTCACTTATCCATTTGCCTTTTGAATATCTCTACTCAGATGACTAAAGATTCCTCAAATTCCACAGATCCCAAATGTATCATCTTTCCCTCCCTCCCACCTCTGTCTCAAATCGATTCCCCCTTTTTGTCACCTCTGTTCACAGGGTTTGGAGCGACACAGACCTGACATTGAATCCTGGCTTTCCTACCCTGGGACCTTGGACAAGTTACTTAAATTATCTTCGTCTTTGTTTTCTTATCTACAAAATTAAGAATAAAGCCTACCCCACAGAGTTGTGATAGGAATAAGCAAGAAAAAAAAATTTAAGTAGCAATTAGAGCAGTGCTTGACACTTGGTAAATGTAGACTATTCTTGGTAATGGAGACTATTCTTTGTTATTATTTTCTAGTATACTACCAAATTCTATTGATTTTACTCCCTGAACATCTTTCAAATCTATCCAATTTTCTCCATTCCCCCTGTTACTATCTTTGTTGAAAACCTCTAACCCAGCCAAAAAAGCAATGCAGGAGGTATCACAATACCGACTCCAAATTATACTACAGACCTTTAATAAAAAAACTATATGATTCTGTCACAAAAATAGACATATAGACCGATGGTACAGAAATTGAAGACAGAGACAAACCCACACAGATAAGGTCATCTGATCCTTGACAACAGTGTCAAAAACATACATTGGCAGGGCACAGTGGTGCACACCTGTAATCCCAGTGGCTCAGAAGGCCAAGGCAGGAGGATCATGAATTCAAAGCCAGTCTCAGCAACTTAGAAGGTCCTAAGCAATTCAGCAAGACCCTGCCTCTAAATAAAATATAAAAAAGGGCTGGAGATGTTGCTTAATTAGACAACCCTGGGTTCAATCCCCAGTTTCAAAAAAAAAAACATGCACTGGAGAAAAAACAGCCTTTTTAACAAATGATACTGGGAAAACTGGTTATCCCTATGAAGAAGAATGAGACTAGATCCTTATCTCTCACCATGAACAAAAGTCCTGGATTAAAGGCCTAGGAATTAGGCCAGAAACTATGCAACTCCTAGAAGAATATGTAGGGTCAATACACCAACAAATAGGCGCAAGCAATGACTTTCTTAATAGGATGCCTAAAGCTCAAGAAATAATGCCAAGAGTTAACAAATGGGATGGTGTCAAATTAAAAGCTTCTGTACAGCAAAGGAGGCAATTAAATATGTGAAAAGAGAACCTACAGAATGGGAGAAAATCTTTGCACCTACTATTCTGACAGAAAACTAATGTCCAGAACACATAAAGAACTTTTAAAAACGTAACATCCAAAAGACAAATAGCCAAGTGTGGTGGTGCACACCTGTAATTCAAGTGACTCGGGATGCTGAGGAAGGAGGATCATAAATTCAAAGCCAACATCAACAATTTAGCAAAGACCTAAGCAATTTAGCGAGACTCTGTCTCAAAAATAAATAAATAAATGGATGGGAATGTGGCTTAGTGGTTATCGGGATGCTGAAGCAGAAGGATCACAAGTTCAAACCAGCCTCAGCAGCTTAGTGAGGCCCTACATAAGTTAGGGAGACCCTATCTCAATATAAAAAATAAAAAGGGCTGGGGATGTAGCTCGGTGGTTAAATGCCTCTGGGTTCAATGCCTGGTACCAAAAAAAAAAAAAGATTTTTGGAGACTGAGGTTGGAAGATTGCAAGTTTTACACCAGCCTTAGCAACTTAGCAAGACCCTGTCTCAAAATAAAGAATAAAAAGAACTGGGGACGTAGCTCAGTGATAGAGTACTCCTGGGCTCAATCCCCAATGCTGCAAAATGACAACAACAACAACAAAAAAAAAAGGTCTCAGAAGAAAAATGAATAGAAAAATAAAACATGTAAAAAACATTTTGTTGTTGTTGTTACACTAGAGTTTGTGAAGGGAGATTTACACAACTGAAAAGTTAAAAGTCCTTGCCCCATATCTAGTTCCCTTTCCCATAGATAACCATTGCTAATGTAACCAGGGTCCATTTCATGTTTTGAGTTTAAAGCTTGCAGCTTGACTGCAGATGGCTTACTGACTGCAGGGGGGTTGGGGACAGGACCAACACCTTTTTCCTTCCAGGCTAAGTAAGCTCTCATGTCCTTTACTTCCTGGAAGAGTGTCACTGCTCACAAGAATAAGGAAACTCCAAATCTAGAAATTGAAGTTATACCTTTCTGAAGGACACCAGTTGGACACAAATTAATTTTATCTACTGATAATATTGGGTCCCAGCTTTTGTATTTCTCTTTTTAAAAGCCTTGTGTTCCCCCTAGCAGAGAGAATCACAGCCTCTGAGACAGTAGTCTCCAGTATTTCCCCTTTTCAAGCAAATCAATAAACTTCTTTTTCCTTTTTCTCAAAATCTTGTTACAGCGTTGGAGCTGTAGCTCAGTGGTAGGCAGCTTGTCTAGCACGTGTGAGGCACTGGGTTTGATCCACAGCAGCATATAAAATAAATAAAATAAAATAAAGATATTGTGTCCATCTACAAATAAAATTTTTAAAAAATCTATGGATGGGCAGTGGAGACAAGGACAGAGCTTTTTTTTATCATGAACAACTTTATAGTGTAT